ATATACACAGTGGAATATTACTCAGCCATAAAGAAGAATGAAATTTGTGGAATTTGCTGGTAAATGGATGGCTCTGGATACTATCCTGCTAAATGAAATAAGCCAATCCACCAAAACCAAAAGTCAAATGTTTTCTCTGATGTATAGATGCTGACTTACACTGTGGGGGAGTGGTGGAGGTTCACARATGGGGGAAATGGGGGAAAGGGCAAAAGGATGGGAATGGGAAAGACAGTAGAATGAATGGACATAACTTTCCTATGTTCATTTATGAATRCACGACCAGCGAATATATGCAAGACTGGCTTCTTCCTTGGAGGAGTGAGGGGCGGGGATCCGACTTTCAAAGACAAAATCATACATTTTGGGAAGTTATACTCCATGTGTGTATGATATGTCAAAATACATTCAGTTGTCATGTATGACATGTAAAAAAGAACACATTTTTTTAAAATTTAAAAAAGATACCAATGATAATTAGTGCCATAATGAAAGGAAATGGGGAATTATGCTGGGGAATAAGAGGAGCCTCTTTTTAAAATGGGCATACATTGAAGATCTCTCTGGAGTTATGGCAAAAATTGTGGGTTGTTTTTTTTTTTTTTTTAATGAGCAAAAATGATTACTGGTCTCTTGTCTAGCATACCCTTCAGGTTATTCTCTTGCCTATTATCGTCTTTGAGTTATTTTACAACTGTATAAGTCACAGATAATTGACAGCAATGCAAATGAACTTGATCCATGAACATGCAAATGGATTTTGTCCTTTGAAAGTACCACCGGATCTCCGCCCTTCACTCCTCCAAGGAAGAAGCCAGTCTTGCATATAGTAAGCAAATTAACTGTAACATTCCTGGTGGCCTGTCTTAGTCTGTTTCCTGTTGCTATTCCAGAATACCAGAAGCTGGATAATGTATAAAAGAAAGAAGTTTATTTAGCTCATGGTTCTGGAGGAGGGAAATTCAAGATCAGGCAGCCACATCTGCTAGGGCCTCGTGCAACATGGTAAAATGGTGATGACATTCCATGGTGGGAGTGTAGGCAGGAATGCAAGGGAGCACATGTGGAAGAGTCAGAACATGAGAGCTGTTGAGATAACTAGCCCACCCTTAAGGGAACTGCATTAATCCCTTGGTGAGGGTGCAGCCCGCCACGTCCTGATTACTTCTTCTTCTTCTTCTTTTTTTTGAGAGAGAGAGAGAGAATTTTTTAATATTTATTTTTTAGTTTTCAGTGAACACAACATACTTATTTATTTGTATGTGGTGCTGAGGATCGAACCCAGCTACCACTTGAGCCACATCCCCAGCCCCAATAATTACTTCTTAAAGACATCACAACCTCTCAACATCATTAGTGGGGACCGAATTTCAACCCATAGCATGGCCTATATATATGACGTCTGTTTAGATTTTCCTTTTAACCCATTGTAACATTTTCTGGGTTCCCTTACTAATGAGTTAAGTGAAATCTTTGATGTGAGTCCATTTTGTATGAATTGAGTCCGAATTTGCCTTTCAAAAACAAAGAAAATCCTTGAATACATTTAAACTCCTTCCCCCAAAGACTATTATTTGGGGGATACCCAGTCAACATTCATATCGCATCAAACTAATGAGTCGATTGGACTGTCCACTCCTTCGTTATTTGTGTATTGATAATACATGCCCAAGATCACCACAGCAGGATGGGGTCAAGAGAAAACACAGGCTTTTGATTTAGAGGTTGACATACTTTCATCACGAGTACTTATGAAATCAAAAATATATTGATTTTTCCAACATGGTTGGCAGTTACAGGAATGTTTWACAGGACTCCTCTTAGTTGTTTTGGAGTCCATGACACAGTTGGGCTCATAGAATTTTAAAATAGCATAGGGAGTTGAGAAATCATCTAATTAGACTCCTTTCTTTTGTGGGTCCATTAGGCCAAAAATGCCTAGGTGATTTGTTAATCAAGATCATTATTTTAGTCTGCTTTTCATTAATGTAACAAAATACTTGAAATTGGGTGATTTTATAAGGAAAAGAGGTTTATTAAGTTCATTGTTGTGAAGGCTAAAAGTTCAAGTTCAGGCAGCCCCATTTGCTTGGTCTCTAGTGAGGGTGTAACAGCAAATGGCAGCATGATGAGAATGTATGTGAGAGTAAGAGATCACGGTCCAGGCAGGAAGCCAGAGAGAGACTGAAATCCCATGATCCCTTCCCAGAACAGCACCCTCAGCAACCTAAGGACTTCCCTCTAGGGTCCACCTCTTTAAATTCCCATCACCTTCCACATCACCTCAGAGAGGATCAAACTTCCAGCACTCGAACCCTTGGGGACAAATCACAGCCATAGTAATCATCAACTAAAAATGGCAAGCTGAGGTTTAAKCCAGTCTCTTCCTTGTCCAATAGTCTTTCTTCTACCCCATGATGTTGGAGCCTACCATAATTTCACAAGTGATTCTTGATAATGCTCATACATAAAATTCACTCCACAAGAACGGGGGTGTCCTTGAGCTGTAGCATATGTTAAGAAAAAAGCTTGGATACAGAGAAATTTGGCTTTTCATCTTGTTGTAACACTTATTTGTGTTCCTGAGTTTTAGTTTCACCAGCAAAGTAGGCATGGATTATTATAAAATAATAACAAATGTAAGAGTATTACAAAGATTAATAATACTCTATCAAAGAATTTAGCACATAGTAAATGCTCAGTAAGTCTTGTCCATTACTAAAAGGCAATCCCCACATTTAAAAAGATACACACACACACACACACACACACACATATAAAAGTAACCATCCATGTGTCTTTGGTATTTGAGTCATTTACAATTGACAGTACTAACACTTTTATAATCAATTTGTTCTTTTATATTTACATGAAATTTACACAACACCCCCACACAACTGTCTGTTTTAAAAAATCCATCTTTATTGAACGAACAATGCACAAACATAAGTCAACTGTTCATGAATCAATAGTCTCTCCACCTCCCACCATTTCATTTGGATGCCTGGATGCTTGAAAATAATCCTTATGTCTTTAAACATAATCTGCTTACTTTTAAACTGCTTCAAATGAAACATAAAACACTGTTTTTGAAAGTACAATAATAGGCTCTGGAGTAGGAAGCAATCAGAGTGAGTGCATGATTCTGAAAGCCAATCTTCTGCGTAGATGACAAAAGGCTCCGAGTGGTGGTCACCCAAGGCCCATTCCCATCAATAAAAATAAACAATATTTAACAATTTATGGTGAATAAAATGGTTTTTATACATAGATTTAAGTTTTCATAAAAACAACAAGGATGGCATACCCTTTCTAACACAATATATGAGGAAGAAGAGAAGATTATTCAGACGGATCAACTCCCTAGATCACTGAATTTGCTTTATTGCTGTTAGTTGTTATTTTTTGGTAGGACAGCCACAACAGAGTACCACAAATTGGATGACTTAGAATAAGAATTTATTGTCTTACAGTTCTGGAGGACACAAGTTCAAAATCAAGATGTCAGCAGGGCCATGCTCCATCTGAAGGCCCTAAGGAAAGATCTGTTCCTGGTTCCTCCCAGCTTCTGGTAGTTCCTTGGCTAGTGACCAACTATAATTCCTATCTTCACATGGCATTCTCCCTGTGTGCACTTCCATCTCTGGGTCCCAATTTCCCCTTTATCTAAGGACATCAGTCAAACTGGATTAGGGTCCACCTTAATGATCTGTAAATTGATTATCTGTAAAGACCTTATTTCCAGATAAAATCACATTTACAGGTACTAGGATTTCTAAGAATTTGGAGAAGACACAATTCAACCCATAACAATTTCCATTTCCTCCTCCCTCCGTTGCCAAATACAGTGGTGGCCAGCAGTATTCATTCATTCAATTAGCTTTTGAACCCACAGTCAGGATCTGTTTTGGGTATTGATACAAAAAATGAACTAGATAGAGACCCTGTCCTTGTGAGGTCACACTGGAGAAAATCTGAAATACTTTGACAATAAGTACTATTATTGAGCAGGTATTACTATTATAATAGGTACTTTTATTGATATTTTTAATAGTGTGATAAGTTTATATATATATATATATATATATATATCAGAAAGGTTTGGAGAGCTCTTAAATCTGCCCTAGGGCTAAGAAATATTTTCACAAATTGGGTAGCTTTTAAGTCCAAAAGGACATACACTAGATGCTCAAAGGTGGTTGCAGTGAGTAGCCGACTCCAAAGTGGAGCGTTTTATAGAGGAAAAAAATAGTACATATACAGGGTAAGAGACAAATGTTAACTCCACGAGGGCTGGCTTCTCAGAACATTACCTCCTGTACCTCCAGTTGTGTGGACAGTGCCAGTTTCATTCCCTAAGTAAGCCTTGCATGAATAYAAGGGCATGTCTAAGGCACAGCATGGCCTGCAGTGCGTTGCCCCTTGGAAGAGAAGGCAGCAGTAGTCAGAAGAGCTCTCTCTGTAAACCACACTCTGTGCAAGAGATTAGGGCTGTCAAGTTCATGGCATGTCGATAGTACTAAGAAATCCCAGGAGGTTCTGGAATGCCTGGCACCCGCGCTGCCGATTACCCCCTTCCCCCAGTACAAACGGGGGTGCCGCCCCGAACAGAAATGGTTACAGGCGCCGCACGCTCTAAAGCGGGGTTCTCCGGCTAATGCGGGATTTAAGCACATGGTTTGGCCCGGCAACGTTAAGTGGCGCCTCCTACGGTTTTCCTTTCACGCCAACTTCCCCTTCCAGCTCCACAGTTAACTCTCGGGACTACTCGGAACCGTCTCCAGGGTTTCCCCACGTCCCACTGGAGAAAGCTACGCGCGCACTCTGACGCGCGAGCCCGCATTCCCTCTGGACCGCAGCGACAGCGCACGCGCGCCTTCCCCAGCACTGCGCGCGCCCACGAGCTCCCCGCATCCCCGTGCTCATCCGGGTCTCGGCAAGTCTCAGCCAATGGTGGCCGCTCACCGCCCCCAGGGGCGGGGCTAGGCCTCCCCCTCACCAAGGGCCTGTGGTCACCAAGGGTGCCTCCAGGGGACAGCGACCAGGCGGCTGAGGAAAGGGGAAGAGGCAGGGAGCCCAATATCTGGTCAAGGATCAACATTTTGGGGGATGAAGTTGTTGCTGCCTCTCTGGAAGCGACTGGAGCGCGAGCAGATTCCCCAGTCAGAGCCAGCGTAGTAAACACACTTCAGAAACGTGAGGTGCCGGGGGTCACGTGGGGAGTGCACCCTCCAATGAGGAGCCGGGGGCGGAGCCGAGGCCGCTGACGCGGCGGTCGAGGCGGTGGAGTCACCCGGGCAGCCTCGGGACCGGTCACCGGCCGGGAACCGTCCAGCGGCCCCGACCACCGCCTCGGTCCTCCGTGGTCGCTCTCGGGCCGAGAGGCAGCGCCGCCAGCCGAGGCTGAATCGTCTCCCGACCCTCTGCGGGGCTCAGCTGAGGCGGGCCGTTTTCTACGCACGGGCCGCCTTGGTGGGGCGAGGTTTCCGTGACGAACCTCCTGGGGCTGCCCGTGCCAGCTCGGGCCGTCGTGGCGGCTCGAGCTCCTGGAGTTGGCTGGCGCTCCGGGGGTCCCAGGCCCTCGAAGTTTTGCGTCTCCTCCGGGCGATGGCAGCGGGCGCCGGCTCCTAAAGGGCGTCACACGGGGACTCCGCCGTCCGGGCAACCTCCATTCATCTTCCAGCTGCGCCTCCAGCGCCCTCGCCTTCTCGCGTCCCCTCCTCGGATTCCTTTTATCCTGACCCCGCTCTGCCGCCCTTTCCTCACTCCTTGGGTGCGGCGGTTCTCCTGGAAGCGCCGGTGTCGGTTATGAGCCGGACCCTCCTGCTTTGAATTGCTGCGTTGGAGGAAGTCGGTGGTGACCCGCCTGCCCCGGGCATGGGGGTGAACGCCGTGCACTGGTTCCGAAAGGGGCTCCGGCTCCACGACAACCCCGCCCTGAAGGAGTGCATCCAGGGCGCGGACACCATCCGCTGCGTCTACATCCTCGACCCCTGGTTCGCGGGCTCCTCCAATGTGGGCATCAACAGGTGGCGGTGAGTCCAGAGCTCGTGGGATATTGATTTCGGTGTCAAATGAATCAGGTGTGCGTGAATTCTTTGAGATGGGCCGAATCTGAGGATTTAGAACCAGGACCGCTTTGCTCGTACCGTTTAAAGAATTGTAGGTGCTTTCAAGGTGAAGTGGAATTTTTGATTTAGTAGTTCTCAGGCCAGAGAGTAACCGACGACTTAAAACATCTCGGCCTTCAGAGGTAAATGACATGTCCCTGCGCTGAACTCCTCCCGGGGATTTATGGAGTTGTGTTAGTGGTGGCGTTAACGATTTAACACCCTCCAGATCTTAGTGGGCTGTGGATTGATTCCCTTGGCCTCATTGTGGCCGTTGAAAGGATTGTGGTCTTTTAATGTTTACGTTTGTGTGTCTAGGTAACTCAGAAATAGTATGGAGAAAAATCATTCATTCAGTACAGTCGACTCCAAATCCAGTTTTGTTCCCCCTTGAGGTTACTTGTAGAAAAAGCAAAGAAAACAACATAATCTGATGTTTGCTCAGCTCTTCCTCTCAACTCCTCCTTGTGGCTGACAAGACAAAGCACAGTTTTTCTTTCTAGCAAAATACAATCCTTCTAGGGATCAGAGAACTGGAAGAAATCCTAGAGATATTTTATGATTTTTTTCCTGAAAAACCAGGCTAGATGATTGTTAGGCCCCCTGGTGGAAATGAAAGCTTTTGTTCAATGGACAGATTACTGATCATTTACTATATGCCAGGCGTTGATTTAAATGTCAGACGTAGTAGTGAATGAAACAGAGTAAAAAGCCTTGTCCTTCCTCTTCAAGCTTGTGTCCCAGATAGTAAAATATATATTTAGTTATTTAGCTGGTGATGAGTGCTGTGAAGGAAAATAGGGCAGAGAAAAGAGATAAGGAAAAAAGAGTAGGTATGGGGTTGCAATTTTAAATATCAATGATCAGTATAAGAATTACAGAGGTGACAGCAGACCCAAAGAGATGAGGGGATGTAAATATCAAGGGAAATAGTACAGGCAAAAGGAGAAGGCCCTGAGGTGAAAATATGCTTGACCTTTGGAAAAAAAACAACTGATGGAACCAGTATAATTGGAGCACAATAAGTGAGGGAAAAGTAGTAGGAATGAGGTCATAGTTGTCATAAAGCCAGACTGACTGGAGCTTTACAATTACCAAGATTTATGCTTTTTTACTCAGAGTGAAGTGGAAATAATTGCAGGATTATGAGCAGAGAAGTGACGTGATCTAGCTTAAGTTTGAAAAAAATTTTTTCTCTGGTTGTGATTCTGAAAACAAACTGAATTAGAGAGTAGAGGTGGACAAAAAGCAGGAAAACCAGTTAGGATACCATTGCATTCATCCAGGTGAAATGAGAATGGCATGTACCATAAGTGATAATAGCAGAAGTAATAAGAAGTAGTCAGATGCTGCTTATTTTCTAAAAGCAGAGTACACATAATTTGTTGGTAGATTGAGTACGTGATGTGAGATAAAGAAAAAGAACTAGGGATTATTTCAAAATTTGGGGTAGAGGAACTAGGATTGGAGCTGCACTTTGCTAAGAAAAAAATGAAGCCAATCAGAGAAGCCTTTGGGAGAATGATGGGCATTCTCTTTTGGACTTTTAAGTTTGCATGTTTTATACACATCCAGGTGGAAACAGCACATAGGCAGTTGGATATATCTGAAGCTCAGGACAGAGATCCAGGCAGCAAGTATAAATTGGAGCATTATTAGTTTATAGATAATATACATAGTCATTTATTCATCCATTCGTGTATTGAACACATATTTGTCAAGCATCTACTATTCTAGGAATGTGGGGGGTCAGAAAAAACAAAGCAGCCCTAGATCCTCAACCTATTGAAGATTCATTATGGTGGAGCCATGAGACTGTATGAAAATATTATAAAAATGTGTGCAGATTGAGCCTTGGGTACTCTTCATGTTCGAAAATTGTGTAGAAGAACCAGTATAGGGTACTGGAAAGGACCTGCTAACAAAGTAAGAAATCAAAAAGACTATGGTGTTGTTTGCTTGTTTCTACTGTTGTTTTGTTTTGTTTTTGGTGGCACTGGGGACCTCACACATGCTGTGCAACTGCTGTTTACTGAGTTACATCCCCATCCCTAAAAGTATGGTGTTTGACAGGAGAGACTCTTTTGTCTATGTCAAATGCTGCTGATAGATCAAATAAGAGGAAGACTGAAAATTAAACTTGGATTTAGTATTTTGAGGTCTTTTGTAATCTTGTCTATAGTGGCTTTAGTAGTATCAGAGGCAAAAGTCTTTTTYGAGTGATTACTAAGGACTCATTACATCATGTTCAGTGGTTTTTGTATATTAGTAAGTCACCTACTGTTTTTGAAAGAGAGTGCCCTAGAGCCAATTATTTTATATTTATGTAACTTTATTAATTTCCTATTTATTATAATACCCAAACTCCTTAGATTGGCATTCAAAATCTACCTTTTTGCTTTTGCATCTCATTTCCTACTGTTTATAGAATGTGACCTCAACCCTAGCAGGGGTAAAACTCTTAGTTTTCCTTAGAGGCTTTATTTTCTTTAATCAGAATTCTATAGACTTTTGAGGTCAAGAAATAAATTTTTAAAAATTATTTTACTGGAAAAGTACATAACAAAACTACTTTTTGATGTTGCCATCATTTTGTTTAAAATCAATGTTTTAACATTAAAGCAATTTTAAAGAACATTGTCTTAGAATAAAGTACTTAAACAAATGAATAAAATACTTTAAACAAATGAAAGTTAACATCTTACAAAAATTATACTCAAAATTTTATTATAAAATCGTATACACCAACATTCACAGAAGTATTGGTCATAATCAAAAGGTAGAAATATCCTAAATGTTCATCAATAKATTAATGGAATTTTTTAAAATACAGAATATCTATATATTAAACTGTAATTTGGCCATGAAAAGAGTGAGGTATTGATACATGCAACAACATATGTGAATGAACCTTGAAAACCTGSTAAGTGAAGAAGCCAGTCACAAAATTCCACATATTATGTGCTTTTATTTATAGGAAATGTTTACAGTGGGCAAATATGTAGAAACAAAGTAGAATAGTGGCTTCTTAGTACTGGGAAGTTGGGAAGTGTTAGCCAAGAGGCCCAAGGGTTTTCTTTCTTTTTTTTTTTTTTTTCCTTTCTTTCTCTCTGCTCCCCGCCTCCCTTCAGTACTGGGGGTTGAACCCAGGGTCTTGCATATGCTATCAAGCACTGAGATATATCCCAGCCCTCCTTCTCAAGGCCCAACCCAAATACCTCATTTCTATAATACCTTTTTTTAAAAAAATTACCTTGCCTGGGGATGATAAGTCTTCTGAAATCTTATTTTTAGTATGCTTCTCATATACTCTTAGCATTTACTGTCTTCATTTGTGAATACTGGTATTATCTTAGTTCGGGCTGCTATAACAAAATACCTTATAATGGGTGATTTATGAATAACAGAGATTTATTTCTCCCAGTTCCAGATGYTGGGAAGTTCACAGTCAAGGCACCAGCAGATTTGGTGTCTGGTGAGGGCATTTTTCTTCATAGGTGGCACTTTCAATATGTCTTTACATGATAGAATGGGGGGAATAAGCTCCTTTCACCCTCTTTTCTAAGGGCACTAAAGTCACCCCTGGGGATAGAGTTCTTGTGACCTAATCATCTCTTCAGTGTTATTCATATTGGGGATTAGGGTTCAACATAAGAATTTGAAGGTGCATGACATTCAGTCAATAGCAGTTGTAGTCTTCATATAATCATTTCTTTCTTACTTAACAGAGGTTTTATAATAGTGAATAAAGCAAAAAAAGTCTCTGCCCTTCTGGAGTGTTCATTCTAGTAGGAAAAAACAGATACCTAAACAAATGTATGCCAGAATGTGTTAAATGCAATGGAGAAAAATAAAGCAGAATGTGAAAACATCCCTGAAGGAAATAAGCAAGCTATGGGGAAGGAGCCCTTATTGTATTCTCTGAAGCATAGTTGGTATTTGATACAGATTGTTTAAATTTTCCTTAGAAGTCTAGGATTTAGGGATGGAGAAATTATTTTATTTCATTTAGATGCTAACGTATACCTTAAACTCAWAATTTAGAAAGATTTCCAATGAACAGATTACTTTCATTGTTTAAACTTCAATATATTCATTACACGGTTGAAGCTATCATATGTACAGTCTCTTGATTTTTCAGTAACTGAATCTATAAATGCTACCTGCTCTTTCTAGTGTATGGTTTCAGTGGAAGAGATATTGCCATCTCWATTCAGAAGCATTCCTTTTGTCTGGGATCCATTTCAAATGCTATGTTCAGGTTTTTATTATTATTATTGTTTATTCTCTCACCTTTTTCATAAAGAGAGATAAAAAGAGTTTTATCCTCTTTTTAAAGGTTACTTTCAATCAACATTTAAACATGCATAAAATCAAGCTCTGTGAAACAATAGAACAAAACAAAAAAGCCCACAACAACAAAGGAACAAAAATGTATCCTTGACTATGTTCTTCTCCTGTAACTGTGTAGCTCAGTTCCTTAATAACTAAATTTCTTGAACAAGATGGCTACAACTTGCTTATTTCCTTTATTTTATCCTCTGCTTACCCTTGAACCAACTTAGAGCTAGTCTGTAGCTGTACACTACCCTCCCCAGGCGGAACTCTACCAAAAGTGTTTTTCCATCCAAAGGACACTTTTAAACTTTTCACTCCTTGATTTTTTCTCAACATGTGATACATTTTGCCACACCTTTTTCATGCCTTGGCTTTAGTTAGAGACCCTCCTATGTTTGTTTTTCTGCCAAATTTTTACTGGTGTTCTTCCTTCTCTTCTTTTTCTGTTCAGCCCTTAAATGCCCCTGAGGTCTTTGATATACACTCACTTTTCATTGTACATGTTTATAGACAGTCTCATCCCTTCTCATGAAGTTAGTTACCATCTTTATGCCCCAAATTCTCAAGTCAGTATCTTCAGCCCAGCT